CGTGAATGAACATCCACATGATGCCGTGATGAAAAATTATGGGGCAGTTACAAAAATTTACAAGCACAGAAACGTAACACGAAAGATGCAAAAGTTAGCTACAGATGAAAGAGCACGCAGGTAATATTGGAAGGAAAATATAATTTCAGTTATTGAGCTTAATGCATCTTAACTGAATTGTTTAAAACATTTGTTCCTTGATGTTCCATCATGCCATCAACACTACTAAAGAGTAGCAACCCAAAGCAATGAATTGTATATCGGATGGAGTCGGAATGACATTAGCAGTGTTCTTGAAAAACCTGGTTATCGTGGATCATTAGACCTACTTCTTCATTTAATAATTTCAACTTTTTTTTCCACTTCAATACTAACGATTCGAGTTCAAAAAAAAGCATCGATAAAGGATTGAAATCCCATCTCAAATTACATGTTGAAGCAGATAGTGGCTGAGTAATACCGAAACAATAAACATATACTCGGCCGAAAGTAGAACCATGTGTTATGGAAGCTGATTGTTTCATCTGAGATATATATACAGAAAAGAAGTGTGATAATTAACATGATTTTAAGTGGTCAAAGTGGTTAGTCTGTACGACTTACTACCCGACTATCTAGGGATCTGACGACTATTTCCTATGATCTTGTCAGTTTCAGTATTAATTCTAAGGACCAAAGTTGCACTCGATTGTATGCCTGTTGACAGTATTACTTGCACAATTCATTTTCTCTCACACAAAAAGTCTAAAAATATCATGATAAATGTTGGTCTTTGTGATGTCTGACGATTTACTCGTTGTAGTTTGAGCGGAGTGGTGAATTTTACTGAAATACGTCTAGCCTCTTACAAAAGTCAAACATAAAAGTCTGGTGAATGGCAGACGATTTCAATACATAGGTAGTGAGGCTAAGAAAGACATTTCAGTGGCTGTTCGAATTTTAGTCCATCAAACAGCTAGTGGTGACAGCAGGCTAATACATGCCTCTGACAACCAAGTTTTCTTAGCAAACCTTAGATGCACAGAGACCAAGACGCCATCAGCCCAATTACAATGCTGTATTATTATTAGGACACGAGCTTAGTATAACACGAGCACTAACAGACGCACCATACAAAATAATAAAGCAACATTATGAAGGTATGATAAAACGAGGAGAAAAGGGAAGCAAAGAAAAATGGATTACTAAAGAAGCAGTCTGTAAGATACATTTAAGGAAGTACTCACTGCTTTCACTTTACTTATCATTAATAGAACAAAGAAGTTGCAGTATAATTCCCACTGGTTTTTGATTCAGTCATGCTTGATAGCACTTTCAGCAACTGAGATATAGGGCCACCAAAATCAGTGTTTTAAGACGGAAAAATTACAATGAATGACGATCACCATCACGTCCCTTAACCTCGAAATCTTTCACTTTTTTCTATAGTATACCACCGATGGCACAGATGCAATAGTATTCAATTAACTTGGGACCAGTCAAGTCCACCATTTCCGATGACCATGCATTAATCATCCAAACAATAGATACTCAGTACTCGATTTTTTATTGAGGATGTGAACAGACAGGCACACAAAATAGACAAAGAACCTCGCACAACAGTGCATAGGTTCAAGTTGCTACATTTCACACCAACATGAAAACAAGCAGATAGAGAAGATTGATACCAAAGTAGACAGAGGTGCATGGGAAGAGAGGACTGTTACTAACTGACAAAACAAAAGTACAACCTCGTACACAAGTGCATCGGCTCGAGGTGCCACACTTCACGAAAGTACACAAAGAACAGGTGGATAGAAAAAGTGATATCAAAAAAGATAAAATATTGTGAGGGAATAAGCAATCTGAAGATAAAGGTTAGTGTGAATATTCAAGCTTTAAATGTCAAGAGGTGTATGTGTCTGCGCCACCATGACCGATTTCCAACCATGTCACGAACAGTCCTCAACCACTGATCCCTTTCATCTCAGACCCCAAAAAGGTAATTTATATCTCCCCCTGCGGCTCAGGTCAACAGTAAGAGACTTAACCGACTGCTTCCAAGTCTTAGTCTACGCACCCTGTAACTACTAACAACTTAATTCAAATTCTGCTAGCATCGCACGTCGACATAGGCGGTGGCTCGACATGCGCTGCACATGTCCAAGCCACCGCATTTGCTGAAGGTCAAACATCTCACCGACAGCCTCCCCCTACTTGCCTAGTACATTTTGCGTGACCTATACTTTGATAACACGACGTTTCTACCATATGAGAACAGTGTTACAAAGACACCTATGATCAGAAACCTGTAATCTTCCGCCTGCAGCGGTTATCCCTTACAGCCGTATAACAGGACAGAACATACTGCAACGCAGTATACCTGAAATCACATAGGTCGTTCGATACCTAGCCAGTCGGCACCAAAGATGACAAAAGTTTTAAAATGCCAAAAGGACGTTGTGTATCTGACCCGATATTTCATTAACAAGCAGCTCGTTCGCACTGATATGTCTCTTCAAGTAGGCGAAGTGGTTGGTCCATTTCACCATTTCACTCCCTATCATTAAATTAAAAGTAGTTTCAGACCAGTCCTGCATCAGCTCAAATTTAAGAGGTGCAAGTGAGACGCATACCAAACATACTCAGATTTCTGCTCAATGCGTCCACAAGACCCTGGATTTCGTCAGCATCTTCATTCAGCAGGATAATACCTTCTACATACTCCAAGTCAACCAGATTACTTCCAAGGAGTAAATAAATCTCTGTGAAGTCAGATGTACATAAGGTTACGTCCACTAGTACGTCTATAACAATGTTAAATAGGAACGTCGACAGTCGGCATCCCAAAAAAAAACACCACTAGTTGTCGTCAATCCACAATACAACTCTCCATAAGCACCAAAACGGCTGAGCTTCAGTAAACAGCTTTGATTAGAGTTACATACTTCCTCGATAATCTCTTCACAGTCAGACACTAACACAACATTTCACGGTTGACAGAGTCAAATGACACCCTCACCACAAGCAATATAGAAAGTGTCAATCCCCGGCAAATATACCTGTGTTCCAGGACCTTTTGAAGGATGAAAACCTGGTCAGTACACCCTCATCTAGGTCTGAAACCTGGCTGGTTTTCTCGAGTTTGCTGTTCTTGAGCCACGGTTAGGCGTTGGATAACAATGGACGCTATGATCTTGGATACAATATTAGTCAAACAAATCGCCCTATGGTGGTGGCATGAAGACCTCTATCTCCCCTCTTATAGACTAGGATGGTCAGTGAAGTACACTAGTCTGACAGCACTACCTCTGATTCCCATACATTACCTAGTACCTATGTCACTTTAAGCAGCGACTTCTCACCTACATCCTTGAAAACTCAAGATGGCAAACTATCAGGTCCTGGTACTTTTCAATGTCTCAAGTTTGAAACGGCATTGTAAATTTCAAGGAGAGTCGGAGAACCAACATATACGTGCCACTCAGGTTCAGGCTGGATGTTAGGCAACTGAAGCATGGCTGAAGGTCAGTTGAACAACACATCAAAACCCTCTTCCCAACGTTCTAACCACCTGTTCTGGGAGGTTATCAGCGTCCCAATCTTTTCGGTGTTGGTTTTACTAACCATCGTCTTCTTTTTGCCGGTATCCTTAATAAGCTTAAGTAGTTGCCCGGTTTTTCCCAACGCTGACACATCTCTCTTGCTTTCATCACCTACCACTGCTTGCGATCGTTGCGAAGACTTTGTCAACTTGCTATGCAGTTGCTTTTGCTTTTCATCGTGGTCAGAAAACCAGCTAGAATCAGTCTTCTCGCATGATGTGAATCCCGTCCTGGGACGAAACAAAGTAAACCCCAACTAGATGTATAATACATGTCAACACTACACTTCTCACCAAAGGCGATTCCAATTTCTACGCAAGCGAAATTATTACTAGGGTGGATGTAAAACAACCAACTAGCCAGTCTACAAACCTAAGGCTAGTCTACCTACCTGGAGCCTGTTAGGAATGCCCTCCAAAAGTGGTTAATCAAATGTGCTGATAGCATTTTACCTAAGAATGGATCCTACGCTATGACTGTATGGCATTAGGATGAAAACTATGGTGGAAATGAAAAAGCTTGTGGCCGAAACTAACCGACCAAATTAACATCAAATAATTGACCAAGGTTGTGCAAAATCAAAAACCCATTTTATTGGTAAGGTGCTTTTATGAAGAGTAGAAGGATTGCATACCTTCAGAGGGAATAAGTCTGACGCACTTTTGAAAGGAATTTATCAATACGTTTTTAATGGAAAGCTTAAGCCAACTTCTACAAATTTATTCGTTCATATAATTGTTTTTGTTTCAATACCGATGAATTAATAATAAAAATGCAGGAAATGCCTGAATTCTGGAATACAAATCTGGACAAAACCCACGGCACCCGAAATCTTGGCTGGCTGTGGATATGATGTGACATTATATGTACACGTATATATATATATATATATATATATATATATATATATATATATATATATATATATAAGTCTGAATACAGAAGTCGACATGTAGCGAACAAGGCAGGATCAGGGGTTTATGGATTATACTGTCTACAATCCAGCCAGCAGCACGTCTAGGCGTACTTTATAGACTTCGGGGATTATCCCAAACATACTTTGGGTGTACTTGCAAGCTTAGGAGCAGTTCATCAAGTTTCGAGATATTTTTTGTCAGTCCCTGTGTTATCAGAGTCTTTAACCACGAAAAAGCATTTCATCACTAAAAATGAATTCTACATCAATGAATATTCCTGATATAAGTGGAGTTGACGTGATTTTTCATAAACCTAGGGGGCATTGTCGACTTTGAAAACTTAGGGATCTTCACAAAAATTGAGGAAAAACTCTACTTTTCGAAATAGTGTGTTTTCCAAAAATCTGAATACGCTTTAAGATTTTACTTACGGCTTCGCTCGAAATTTCCGAAGCACGCCGTAAGTGAATGCTAGCGAAGAAAATCGAACCCAACGTACCTCGGAACACTTCAACAAATATATTCTAGCTATCAATGGAATCCCAAATGCCAACGTTTTTCCGCTCCCCTAAAATGGTAAATTGAGTATAAGTCTAAACGTTCATTTACTGTAGGAGCTGATCCCAAAATGTCAGAGCCATTCTCCAGCGCAGGTGGAATAGATTTTAACTGTATTGGCGTAGGCTGTTTCAAACCACAATCAGTTAACGCCCTTGTAATGTACTCTGGCAAACGGAGCAACTCCCAACTCATTGGCGCGACAACCTTCCAATATCCTTGGAATTTGAAATGTCCTCCAACTTCCAACAACGTCCAAAACAAATAGTGTGAGCGTAGGTAACTGTTGGGTTTTGATCTCTTGCATTTAGTCTCTGGGGCTTGTTTCTTGTTGTTCGGTTCACTTCTGTAGTAGGCAAGGGAATCTTTTCTACTACCCTGCTTCTAGCCCCAGTGATATGAATGTTTTGGTAGGTTAGCTATTGCAACATGTAAACTGAGTTGGTAAGGAAGCTAAGGGTAGCTGGGAGGATTAAGGATCGTTTGTGACTACCAAATGAATATGTGGAAGGACAGTAATGGCAAGATACTGGGGAAAAGTGTGTATCCAATATCTTTTTAACTAGCTTGTGTAAACCAGTTGATTTCTTCTTGCTCGCTTCTTGGTCCTTAGGAACGGTTCCAGATCTTTGGCGAATTGCGATCCAGTAGATCCAGCCACTCTCCTACCATAGCTCTGATTTACAGAACAGGAAGTTAAGTGCTGGTTTGTTTGCCTTGGACTGTGGTACAGTTGGCTTCTTCAGATGTTGATTTGCCAGACAGTTGTTAGGACTTGTCGCTAGAGAGGGTTAGGGAAGGTGAAGAGAAAACCCGGAAAGTGTTTGAGGGGGTAAAAGCGGAGAAGAAAAGTGGACCATTGGAGTAATCTACTTGCACCCGAGTAAGGCGAGGAGGAGTGCAAAGGTATGAGGAACTTAGGTAAGTGAGGCCAACTTATGGCGAGTGGAAGGGATGAAAAGAGCTTAAATGGTTACAGTAGAAATAAAACTGGTTGAGGTGGCTTGACAACATTTCGTGTTCCAGCTATGTATGGTTAGACCGTGAGTCTCTGCATGACTGTCTAGCCTCTTCTTGAAACTTTCAACAGCTTAGACGGAGACCACCTCTGCTGGTAGTGCTTTCCAGTACCCGCAGACTCGGAAGGAAAAGAACTGTGAACGCACATGCTTTTTTACCTCTGGTGGGCCATTCTCTTGAGAGTTCCTCAAGGATCTCCATAGTGGCCACCCGGTAGAATTCTTCTGTTCGTGTGGCTTCGGTTACTCAGTATTTTGCAAGCCATTATTAAGTCACCTAGCAACCTTCGGTAGATAAGAGAGTATAGGCCGAGGTCTTTCGGTCTATCCTCATATGGTTTTCGTTGCATTCCAACAACCGTTTTTGTGGCTCGCCTCTGGACTCTCTCCAGTAGGTTAGTGCCACTTTTCAGCTGTGGTGGAGCGAAGACGTTATGGGCCATACGTAAGTCTTGTACAGCTTCAGAAAGAGTTCTGGGGCGAGGGCACCCAGTTGTCTACGCACAAAGTGTGGTGCACCGCACGCTCTCGAGGCATCACCTGGGTAATTGGAACTGGTGTCCAGTTTCTCTGTCACCGTTAAACCCAGGTCTTTTTTTACTGTGGTATGGGATAGACGTGAACCACAGAGATAGTAAGATGTTTTCTGGAGATCAGGAGTGCGGAAAAACATGGACCGGCACTTGCCCAGGTTAAATACCAGTTCGTTGTTAGTTCCCTGTTCCTCTAGTGTTTTCAGGTCGTTCTGTAATGCCATGGATTCCGCTTCGCAAGTTATTGCCCTCCATAACTTGACATCGTCAGCGTATAGGGGAATAGGGAAGATAATATGTTGCGGCAAGTCATTTACGAACAGTAGGAACGACAGTGGACCCAGGATTGCTCCTTGTGAGACACTGGATGAGGATGTTCTCCAAGTTGAGTAGACCCTATTGACTTTCGTGCCGAACTCCTTATTGTCTAAGTAGTTCTGCAGACACGATAGCACCTGGCTGCGAATACCTAACCCAGCTATCTCATGTATTAGGATCATGTGTGAAACAGTGTCAAAGGCTTTGGCGAAGTCCAGAAAAATTGCGTGGACAGGGACCTTGAGATTCCAACATGCTATCCAGTGATCATGGGCCGTCAGGAGGTTGGAGACATGTGTTTTGACTTTATTCTTGTTATGTGTTCGAAAACATTGGCCATTCCTTTTCCTCGGTTTCATTCAGTTTGTTTGCGTAACCACACTGAAGTTCTTTTTTCAACTGTTAGTACCTTTGGATTTTGTCTTGGCCAGAAACTGTAATAGCCGTAAAATCAAGGAACACTTTTTCATGCAGTTCCTCTGCAACTTGAATACCATTATTATGTTTATGTCTGAATATACAGTCATGCACCACCTTAGCAAACACGGATAAATTTCCGGGTAAATGACATGTTTCTTTTGGCAGCTTATCTCACTCCACGATTGTTCTGTCACTAGAGGATAAGCGCGGTACATATTAATAAAATGAACCATCCTAGAAGAATAGGTATGCACAAATCGACAAGATGGACAGTTGGATGTAATGTCTTCGCATTGGCCAAAAAACCAGGTTTTGTTTTTAATCATCACATGTATTGCCTGGAGAAGAACAGAGTTTGAATCAAATGCTGTCATTGTTAGGCCTTACATATATTGCTTAAGAATAACCATGAAAGCTAATGAAAGAATATACGCGTCTTGTTTGTTATTTATTGTACTTTATTGACTGCAGAATTGTAGATTTAGCGGATTCTCCTATCGGCTCACACCAAAGGTTCATAACCCTGCCGAATATTACGGCTAAAACCAAATATCCGTATTTCTCAACTCCAGCAATAAAAAGTGGTAGGCTGGTTTGGACGCATCAAGCGGACGTCCCAGATACCTTGTTCGCCGCCTTTGCAGGTCGAGACGGCTTTTCGGGCTCCTTGTCCGGCAACCAAGCATTTTAAATTTGGTCGGTTTCGCTTCGGATTCGGGAATTAATGAAATTCGTATCTTTGTTACGAGCTTAGCAGCAATTCTGTCAGTAACATGAGTTTCTCAATGTCTCTACTTCTTTTTAGCTGATGGTGTAGTGTCACACACTTCCCCAAAGTCGATAGCTCAGGGTTCAACGAGATTCATTGCTGATACTGACCCTCATAGCTTTATCGGGCCCCCTAAGTTTAAGGTACACGGTCAACCATCCAGGCCATTAGGCACGCTGTCGTGTTGTGCTGCGCCGCTTGTAATCAACTCTCTAGCCAGCTAGTTTGAACGCATTGGTATTCCGGCACAACCTCGCGAATGTACTATTCCATCTGACTACGCTGTTGCTTTCTTCCTTGATCTCGTATTCGTGGTGCATTACGAGTGCGAATAATTAGTGAGCGGCCTCAGCATCTGTCAGGTTTACGATAGGAAAATTCTGAAGATGGTTTGGATCGTTTCGCCTTTGAAACCCGGTTTCGATATCTTGGGTATTCTGTTCATCTACGACGTCAACTGATAAAGAGAATAAAGCTGTTGAATGAGTTCACAATACCAGATCAAGACAGTGGAAGGAATTTTTACACATGGAGAATAGCTTGGAAGTTTCTGAAAACCTTCTCAACGATGATGAAGATAAAGTGAGAGTTAGCGACGTCGTTGTGCATTATTCATGCAGTAAGCGTAAAAGCGTTGACGATAAGACACCCAAACGTTTGTCAAAGGCAAAGAAACTAGAAAGGGAACCGAGATCAAGAGTTGCATCGTCCCACAGCGTGTCAGAAGTTGAGGACAAGGCATTAAGCCATTCGAGGGTTATGAGCGTCGTACGAACACCTGAAACCCATTATATGCGGAGTAACTTTGTATTGGACCTGAGAAACATTATGGCCTCGATTGTGAGCGATACCTTCCTTCCAAGGATGAGCAGCCCAGCCAGTTTTAGATGTTTATTGATCAGTTTATGGGTGTGATGGAAACCAAGCTTGATGACAGAGCCAGATTTTGACTTGTTTGCTGCACTTTTGCAAAGGAAAGGGAAGAACAACCATAGGGGCATGTGTCTCGCCCCCAGCCGATCTTGTATGTGACCGAGCTAGACAAATTCTCCAAGATCTGTCCGGACACGTACACTCGACCAATTTTTAATGTTTCGGTTGGAAATTAGTACTCAGTGGAGAGTTCGATCTACGATATGAATGAGTTTTATCTAGAGCTCAGAAGTGTACGAGTAGCGTTGTCCGAGACAGGCTGTGCGCCGGATCTGAGCCTTACCGTCGGCTTGGAGGTTATTGTTGGTTGTTTACCTGCTGACCTAAGTGACAAGAGTTTGGTCACAGGAAGGGGGCCTGATTTTGAAGACTAAGCTTCCCGTGTTGAGGAAAGAGCTAGAATAGCTCAACTGAGATACGGCCTTCTAGTACCACCCAGCCCGGAAGGTGTTCACACAGAGTTCCCACCCACATTCTAGCAGAAGATCTCATTGTGAATTGGTGGAAGGTACTGATCAACTAACAAATGATAAGAAAAATCTGTTCCTAAGAACTGCATCCTACTTTATGGTTCCCGTGGCCTGTCTGAATGTTCAAAGTTACTGAGTATGCCAGTTAACGACAGATTTGTGTTCAGAGGAGTCGATATCAGCCACGTTGATTCAAAGAGAGGTTATATCGCCAAGTTTTGTATTCCCCTATTGATATATAAATCTGAAGATCGCAACGTACGGTACCATCCTCTGCTGCACACGGCGGACATTGCCGTTTACTTAACGGGACCCATACCTCATTTGAAGAGGGGTATAAGATCCCTCAAAGTAAACCCGGATATTGTTCCGGTGGTGCCAGTGGGCCCCGAAAGGAGCGCAGGGACATATGCGTTACTGGATGATAAACCGGATGCATCTCTGATATCCAAACAAACAATCGAGGATCTAGACCTTGGGAGGCGGGAATTCCTCTTTGAATGTAGCTACGGTGTGTGGAACTTCTCAGCACAAGTACTTAAAGATGAGCATGAGACCCTACTCGTTAGATGAGCGAGGTCCAGCTAAGATACAAAAGGCATACACCGTCAGTCGCTTGCCAATATCGGGTACGTACACTCTGCCCAAGGAATAGATTAGGACCTAGAGCCGCCTGGCAGCCATTAAACTACCATGATTACAGAGCAATACAGTCGGAATTTCGGTTGGGTTTGGTGCTCCAGGTGTGCGCTGGTCCCTAGAATAGGGTT